ATAGTCTTTCACAAAGTAGGTAAGCACGTTTGGAGACAATAGAGTGACTCCGTACAGTACTTTACTTTTGTGAGGTATGGGTTTGTCCTTTGTGTGTATAAGGACAAGACAAAAAATAATCTTGTTCAACAAGATTCATTTGATCGCTAACACTGGAATGACGCTGAAGGTCTCATCAATGTTCTCTGAATCTTGAGTAGATTTCACATTGTGTAGACGAGCTTGTTATCACTGAAAACCGCATCAGATCATAAACTTGCTTGTCTCTATCTTTAGTTTCTATCTCGATATCGCTGAAGGTTTTGTGGAGTGAGTTTTATCTTCTTGAAGAATACTTGTCTCTGAAGGAATTACAATACATGTTCAACAATCATTGAACAGACTCGGTAATGATCATTGAAGCTGAATATAGATATAGTACACTTCGTAAGGTAAAAGGGACCATCATCAAATCACTGAGAGAAAGAAACAACATTATTTTTTTTTGGCCAAGAGCATCTTATTCTTGTAGTAGTTTGAGTCCCTGACCACCGACTTCCAACACTTCTTAGCATAATGTCCGGTCCTTCCATAGTTATAACACTTCTGAGGCTCTTCTGTTCTTAATTCCACCATCTTCTTCTTGTACTCGGGTTTCCTTGAACACGAGTCGGGTTTCCTTGAACTTGATGAGGTCCTCAGTTTGTTGGACGAAGGTTTTTGTAGAATTTCTTTTGAAAAGCCTTTATCAAAAGGAGCATACCTTGCTTTACTTCGTTCAGGTCAGAGTCAGAGCCACTGTCCTCTTTGTCAGTGTTGGACTCTTCACTATCTTCTTTTTCAACTTTCAGACTTTTGGAAGCATAACTCTGGCCTTTTCAACAGCAACAAGAGCTAGCGGATTCACCGATGACTTCTCGCTCTTCTTCTTGCCTTCATACTTCTCCAAGACTTCTTCCTCATTTTGTAGCAATATCTCATAAATAACATGTATGTCCATATCTGATAGAACCCTATATTAATTACTCTGAGAAGCATATCTCTTCCATTTTGGTTGAAGATTATTCAGAAACTTGATATTATTTTCTATCATATTCTTTTATATCTCATTCTTTCTAAGCTCATTCAATAGATTGAAAAACCTCTCGTAGATAGATTCAAGCATCTTACCTTCTCTTTTCTTGAAGTTCTCGTAGCTCTTGATGTACTTAGTCACTTTGATTTGAGCACCAATACGACTCCCATCATCTGCCTCTCTATCTAGTCCCACATGGTCTTCCCACTTTGTTTGTGACTATCTATACTGGTATAGATATTGTTTGGTAGACCTTGCATAATGTAGGACCTTATCATCCTATCAACATCAACTTCTACCCTTTCCATCTCTGTCATGGAAACATACTCCTTCGGCACTTGTTGTTGTACAAGGATTGGCATATTGGCATTAGGAGTAGTCGGTATGATATCCATGAAGACGGCTGGTCCATCTCTCAGGGATTCTCTCATCAAAAGACCAAGTCTTTGTCTATCAATAAAATCAAGTAACCTATATTTTCATTGAGGACAATCCCCTCTGAACATGACATAAGGTTTTGTATCCGAACCGATAACCATTGCCTCTCGAGATGACATTGTTCTTTATAATCATTTGATTGTAGATCAACTAGTTGAAAATCTTAGAAAAATAACTCAGAAACCAAAAACTGAAATTTTTGTCACACCCAATTGTTTCTGCACCCCACTTGTGAAACTTATCGCACCCCAAAAACTTGTCGCATCTTAAACTTGTTGCACCCACCTTGTCGCACCCAAACTTTTCGGATCCAAACTTGTCGGATGAAACAGGGTATGAACAATAATTTTTATCGCATATAAAGGATGCGATAAAGTGTGTTTATCGCTTTATACAGATGCGATGACTTGATTTTATCGGGACACATGGATGCGATGACTTGACTTTATTGGGTCAAAAGGATGCGATAACCAAAAGTTATTGGGTCAAGTAGATGTGATAACTAGAAGTTGTTGAATCAAAGTGATGCGATAAAAGCTTGTTATCGCACAGAACTATGCGATGACTATGAATAATAAGGATGCGATAACTTGGCAGTTCTTATTTGGCAGATTTTGAGTTTTTTCACAAATACAGTCCAGAACCTTTCAATTAAGGATATATAGGCTCGAAAATCAAAAACTTACAATTTTAATTCTCGAGATACAAACCAGAACTGAATAAAAGCCAATTGGTTTTCCAAGAAATGAGGCTGAGTCTTCTTCCAATGTCAATCCTCTGCTTTGATACAAATTGTTGATTACCCAGATGATTACAAGAAACAATGAAATAACAATAACACAATGCAATGAACAAACCAGTCGACTTCTATTGATTCAAAATGTGGAATACAAAAATATTGTTTTGCCTTGGGCGACGCTTTCAATTATAACCTGATAACTACAATGAAGAATTGACCTACTCTAGAGAATAAGGTAACTATATATACCTTGACAGTATTTATATTTTTGGCCCTTCTACTCTATTACAAACAAAATATAAAACCTAACACAAAACAATTAAATAATAAAAAGTCAATAATTGCAATATAATAGGCATTTGCTATTATCAGAATTCAAAAAGTAAAATCATTTATGTTGTTAAAGTATATATTAGTTATAACTAGAAGTATACATGCGCAATGCATCATAATACAACTTTTTCATCTTTCTCGATTTTATTCTCTGGATTTGTGTAGTTTTAATAAACCGACAAAGTCTTTGTTGGTTATCAATATTATGGAGTATTGTACCGTATTAACATAAAATTTGTGATGCCTTCTATCAAACCTCCAGTGGGAGTCAAATAATGGCCATCATCCACTCACGACTGCACAACTTCTTCATTCTGACCAATCAAGTGGATTATGTTATTGACTTGACTCTTGCGGTGGTACATAGACCATGATGGCTAGTAGATGAATGACAGTGGATCTAGTGTCCTCTATTCGACTATTGTGATAGATAGGGCATTGTCCCTGATCACCATATCGTCAAGTAGGTGACTAGTTTCGGGGGACAATGCCAAATTGGCTGAGCTGGAGGATGAAAGGACTTTTGATCTTGTTTTTGTCTTGCGTTTGTTGATGATGGTAATGGGTTGGTCATTCTCATAGTCATTATTAGAGTCACTAATGGTGATTGCCTGCTCAACTCCTCTCGAGTGGTAGTTTCATCCGCAATTACTCCAAGTACTTTGTCAAACTACTGCCTCAAGGTCATCTAAGATAGCCTAAAAAGCAACAATTTCAGTAATTGTAGTCTCAACTCGCTAGCTAGTATCAACATTTAGCTTCAATATTAGTTGTAAGCCAATATATTCTCCATTAGAAGTAAGTATGCTTTGTTGTACTTAATTCTCAGGTTGACTTTCTACACTTATCTGCAACTTCATGTGTTCAATGTGCACCGACATTGTATTGTTGTCTTTTTACAATCTAGCTAAGCGTTTGTGTACAAAAGAATTAAAATCAAAATGAGAACATATAAAAAGCTAGCGAACTCAAAAATAAGTTGAAGGTTCATGCAACTAAGAAAGTAAAATTCCGGGTGAAATTGTAATATAATTTTGAATATAGCAAATTATGGGTTGGTCTATGTATAATGTACATAATCAAGAACATAACAATCATATTAAATCCATAGTATAGAAAGGCATCGGGTTCATCAGTTGGGTTAAGTTCAAATTACCCAAACCCAATTCTAACCCAATAGATGCGATTTGACCAAATTTTTGTATTAGCTATGTGTCGGGTTACCTCGGGTTGAGTTAGCCAGGTTGGTCGGTTTTTTGAGCACCCCTCCTACTATGAATTGGTTGGTGTAAGTTGATCGTATGTTGAGGCTTTCCACTAAGATCCACACCAGGTACTCAATGTTCAGGTACTGATCACACCTCATTAATGAACGTTTTCTGGTCCTTATCCAATGGTGACCCTTTGTGTTATTTCCTTGATTTAGATGGTTTTACTTTGTAGCTTAAATCCCATCAATGGTTAGGACTTCATCGCCGATGTCTGATCCATTAGGTACAAGACTTAAATGTCACATGCTAATCCATCATCAACCCATTAGTGGCACAAATTATAAATCCATATTTAACCAAGTATTTTACTAATACTTAATCATCATCAGATCTCGATTTAGATGATGCTCAACAATATTTGAAAAAAGGATGATGGTATTGATGGGTTTGATGCTTGGACAAATGGATGGGTTATCATATGAGAAATGACATACATTTAGATCAGACATTCATATTCTTGATTTATTACGTTGTTTTTTTCTTTTTTATTTGGTTATTTAAAATAAAAAGTTGTCCTCTTTTCTTTAGAAGCTGTTAACTGATTTCGTGAGGGTATTCTCGGGAACAGATCCAGTGGAGACGGAGTGGGCCCTGGAACGGACCCAAATTTTTTTGGATACGATGACACCATATAAAACGGTTTTACCTTCTAGGATAAAACGGTTGCATCATTCACGAACCTAATTTTTTTTACCTTACCAGGGAAGAACAATACGGTGGCACGTGCCACCTAACCACCCCTCTAGGTCCGTCTATGAGTGGGCTTGTAGCTCAAAGCCGATCCCCAAGACGCCTTTGGTTGAATGTTCACACCTGATCCACTGTTTGAAGATGAGTTTATATGAACAAGGTTAAAGATGGTGGATGGACTAAAATATCACTCATTTGATGGTACTCTGTAAACAAAATACATCAATTCTAACTAAAAGCAGAAAAAAATGTATTTTTTGGATGAAGATGCATAGTACTGAATTCTTCAGGGACTAAATTTGTACATCACTCTTTCCCATATTTAAATATTTACCATAAGTCCATAATTTTAATATATTTCCAATTTCGCCCCTCAAGGTCGATCTTCTTTCCATATGGGTCTCAAGATTTGTTTAAAACGCTTCCTTCATCTCTTTCTCTCTCTCTCCTCTCACTTTCTCTCTCTGAAGGCTTCGTCTTTGTTTCTCTCTCCTCCGTCCTCTGCCTATGCGTTCTCTTTCTCTTCTTCCAAAAAAACATCTCTTTACAGTAGAAGAAGCAGCAGAGGTCCCTTCATCACTCTAATTTGATTCTCTATCTTATCTTTCTGGTTTTGATTTTCTTTTTCATAATATTTGAACTCCAATTTTTGTTCTGCCAATATATTATCTTAATTCTTCGTCTTCCGGATCCACATTTAAGATATCTTGCGCCACTTTCACTCAACCCGCAAAAATCCCAACCTTCATAGCCAAAAACAAGGTAATTCCTATCATTAAAACCTTTTTCAGTTTATCAGCGTAACAAGGGTTCTTGCATGTTTGATTAGATCTCAATTTGGTTTTGTTTGTGCGTTTTGTTGTATTGTCCGCAGGAAAATTCAGTAATTTGAAGTTGCGGGCGGTGTATTAATCTCGAGCGAAATGCTAGGGTATGGTGGATTGTCAGGGTTTTGCAACCTATTTTGGGTTTCTTGTGATTACCCATCTGGTTAATCTGTTGAAATTGTGAGTTCTTACCTTCTGTATTGTTTCTTTGCATAGTGTTTCATTTATGTGATGATTTTTAGGGCTGAATCGTTTAATTGACGGTGTATTTTGTTCCCTGAAGTGGGCCCCTTAATTTAAATATCAGTTACATGTGTAGGGTTTTCATGTTAACTAATTTTGTGTATGGCATTGAGATGCATGAAAAGGATTTTCAATATTGATATCAGGTAATCTGGTAAGAGCAACACTGTTATAGGCTACAGGGTAAAGAAGAAACTTAGGTCGTGACTGTATATACATGCATATTGAGGGGTGTTTGTGAAGGATGGTAATGGGTCCAACGGTTATATTGACCCTTCAACGAACCATATCATAGTACTAAGAACCATTTGGCCGAAATTTGAATGCTAAGTTGGACATGTCATCAGAATGTTGATTGATGGGATTCGAATCAAGTTGTAGACTTGTAAATTCAGATTATCTATATGAGAAACTCGTCATGCTGCCTATTCCACCAACAGTGATGATTCATTGGAACACAAATAGACTTGGTTATATTCGATGGATTTCTAAACATAACCAAGGCCAAGTGGCTTAGTAATGGAATTGAAATGAGTCAAAGTCTGTACACATTTATGTTTCACATTTTCACTGTCTATTTATGAACGTATATGGTGGGGCTAACTTTGATACTACGCTACCATATATAGTGACTTGTGTTGAAGTGTACTTCTAAGCTATTTGAAACGTTTGGTAGCTGGTTTATTCTGTAAAGGATTTGGTCAGAACCAACTTGTCTTAACGCACTACCCATCCTGATCGTTTGCCACCTCTAGTTGTTAGTACACTTGCTTGATGGATGAAGCTCGCTGGTGTGCTTGATCAGATAAATGATAAATGAGGAAAGGGCTGGGGAGTATTGACACTAGAACTTGGTGTTGGTTCAGTATGCAATTTATATTTCTTCCTGTAGAACCACTTCAGAAAAAGGATGTTGTAGAGACTGGACGAGGATGACTAATTCTTATATGGCCGAAATAATCTAAGAAAAACGGAGTTTAAAACGTGTGTAAACCACATATGCAATGGTTGCTTTAGAGTATGTTGATTTGAAAAGAACTATGACCATGAGTATAAAGAAAGAAAACAGAATTTAAATTCTCTCCAAAAGTCTGAATCAGTATCGGTTAGTGTTCACATTGATTTGCATTTAGCATGTTGGAAAATATGCTGTAATAAATAGCAGTTTTGCATAATTTCCAGGATTTGAAAGAGGATATGGCCCTTCACAAAAATCTTCCTCCCAACGAACCGCCTACTGGGAGCTTGAAATCATTAAGTTTTTCCAGTAAGGTGAAGGAAAGAGCCCAACTTGTTGATGCAAATAGACGCAGCAATGAAGCTGAAGCGGATATTGACCTCAGGGAGGTCTACTTTTTGATTATGCATTTCCTATCAGCTGGCCCATGTCACCGGACCTATGGTCAGTTTTGGAATGAACTTCTGGAGCATCAACTCTTGCCTAGAAGATATCATGCTTGGTATTCAAGAAGTGGTGCTACGAGTGGGGATGAAAATGATGATGGCACATCTTTCCCGTTGAGCTACAATAAGTTGGTGGAGAGGTATCGATATTTACTGGTCTTGAAATTTTTCAATTTGTAAAATTTAATTGGTTGTTATGTATAACTGCAAACAGGATTGCTTTTTAAACATTATCTTGTGAGTGATTTGAATCTTCCCCAACTTGTGTTTGCTTAGGTATCCTCACATAGAGAAGGATCACTTGGTGAAGCTGTTGAAACAACTGTTAAGTGGTGCAGCCTCTTCATCACAGGGTCTCATTGGCCAGACTCCACTGAATGCTGCTGCTGTTCCTACTCTATTGGGAACTGGCTCCTTTTCACTTTTGAGTGGTATTTGATCACAATTACATTATCAGTGTTTACCTTTTGGCTACATTCCCACTGTCCCAAAATAAATGAAACATTTCCCTTTTGTGGAAGTTTCAACCCAAAATTACCACTTCCCAATTCCCATTGCTAGTCATTGCGAACATTGATGGCATTTTGATCCACATGATTCTCCTATTTGTCATTCTTGATGTGTATTTAGATATTCAGTTAATAGTCAAACACTCACATTAAACTATGTGCTGTTAGAGGTTGCATTTATTTTGTTTAAGGTTAAATCATCAACTGTTACTTCAGAGGCTAAAAAGAAATAATTGGAAACATAGGGCACACTTCTAATTTCTCAAATTTACGATGTGGATACTGCTCTTCCGGTTTACCGTTTCTCGGGTTGTCTTTATTTTCTTATCTACACTATCTGCCAGTAAGGTGCCCGTGTGCCTCCTTGCAGATGATGTAAAGAAGGAAGACAATCAAGTCCGACGCCCACCGGGGTTCATGCGTTGGCCTCATATGCAAGCTGATCAGGTGCGTGGACTTGGCCTAAGGGAAATTGGTGGAGGGTTTTCAAGGCATCATCGTGCACCATCTATTCGGGCAGCTTCTTATGCCATTGTGAAACCATCTACCATGGTACAAAAGATGGAAAATCTTAAGAAGCTTAGAGGGCATCGGAATGCTGTGTATTGTGGTAAGCCACCCCTTTTCTTCCAATCTACTAGGGATAATATAAGGGAGCAAAAGAATCTATTTGCTCTTTGTGTTGATGTATTTTTTTCTTTTTCTTGGCAAAAGTTGTGTTTCTTTTAACCAAATTATTTCCGATGTTTGTGCTTTAGCTGTTTTGGGCATTTTACATCTTTTTTTCATGGAAGCAATTTATTATCGTCTGCTAAAGTTTGTATGTGGCGGGCTATTTTGTAAAGTCATTTGACTTTTATATGCATTAAATTTAACAATGTGCTTTATTCCAGCAATATTTGACCGATTAGGGAGATATGTTATCACTGGTTCAGATGATCGACTTGTAAAGATTTGGTCAATGGAAACTGCATATTGCTTGGCCAGCTGCCGTGGACACGAAGTGAGTTCAACTGTAGTACAATTACATCTTCCATCCTTAATCAGGTTTCTCACTCGATGCAATTATTATCTATCACGTCATATGTTTCAATAGGGTGACATTACAGACCTTGCCGTGAGCTTCAACAACGCACTGGTTGCTTCTGCTTCAAATGACTGCATAATCCGAGTTGTAAGATCTCATTTATTGTAAATCACGCTTTCAAATTTGCTAGAAATTTCATCTGGTCAACTGACATTGTTTTTCTGACAGTGGCGACTAGCAGATGGACTTCCTATTTCAGTTTTACGTGGTCATACGGGGGCAGTTACAGCCATCGCCTTTAGTCCCAGGCTGGGCTCTGTTTATCAGCTACTCTCGTAAGTTTGTTTTTTAACAGTGATTACTATACCTATGGCTTTGACATACACCGATTGATTCTGACTCATCTGCCTTTGACGTATACTTTGAATTCTATTTTAAAAAGCTTGTGGTTCAAGGAGTTTAGCTGATGTCTAATTCCTATGATCCACAGTGGTACATGTGTTCCTCATTCTACAGATTAAATCATGTCACATATCTAATATTTTTGGATACTAAGTTTTGCTTTTATGACCTTATTCTTTATGCAGAGAATTTTGAACTTTTTGCTTTCTTTATTTTTTTCCTGTAGGTCTTCTGATGATGGGTCGTGTAGGATTTGGGATGCTAGACACTCTCAGTTCAGTCCACGGATATACATCCCTAAGCCTCCTGAACCTCAAGCTGGTTAGTCATGGCTGTTACGTGGGCCCGTTAGAACTCTGTTGTTTTATAATAATGACTTATTTAGGAGTACATTTGTAATGGTAGGGAAAAGCAATGGCCCATCATCATCAAGTTTTGTTCCGCAAAGTCATCAGATATTTTGCTGTGCATTCAATGCTAGTGGAACTGTATTTGTCACCGGAAGCTCAGACACTCTTGCCAGGGTATACTGTGAATAATGACATTTGAATTGCATTAATCAGAATTTTCAACTTCTTTTGTCTCGCTTGTATTGGTCTCAAGTTGATCTCAAAAAAGTTTATCCCATTCATTTAGATCATTTTCCTTCGCTACATATCATGCGTCCATGTTCAGTGTATAAATAGGATGCACAAGATGAAAATGTTAAAGGACCAATACGAATTGGACCTTAGTCTGCTAGTATTAATTACATGCAGGTTTGGAATGCTTGTAAACCTAGCAATGATGATCCGGAGCAACCCAATCATGAGATGGATATATTAGCTGGTCACGAAAATGATGTTAACTATGTACAGTTTAGGTACAATTTCTGTGTTTTCTTCAATATTTTTCATTTTTACCTTGGATGCTAAAAAATTTCTACCTTATTCATGCAGTGGCTGTGCCGTCGCTTCTAGATTTTCTCTCTCTGATGCCTCGAAAGAAGAGAACCTTCCGAAATTCAAAAACACATGGTGCTTATTTATTTTCTTTAAATTGCTATTATGTATTTTTGTTTACTTCAACAATCAGTCTTAATCCCATTTCGATTTGAAATATTTTTGTGGAGCTTTCATGGTTTTACCCATGACAAGATGGTGTAAATTTCGATCCAATTTTTTAAAACATTCATTTATAACACACTCACATGTTTAAATTTCTAGGTTTACCCATGACAACATTGTAACTTGTTCCCGTGATGGCAGTGCAATTATTTGGGTTCCAAAATCACGTAGATCTCATGTGAGCTATTCCATTATACTATTCTCAATTCTTGTTTTGTGAAAATTTTACAACTTGTTTGATCTTAGCGAGTTCTCCGAAGTTAGCCTTTTCTTTTTCTTTCTCTTGGGCCAATTAAATTAGTAGATTCTTGGATTTACAGGGAAGGGTTGGACGCTGGACACGAGCATATCACTTGAAAGTTCCTCCTCCTCCAATGCCTCCTCAACCACCACGAGGAGGTCCACGTCAAAGGATTCTTCCTACTCCACGAGGTGTTAACATGATTGTGTGGAGCCTTGACAACCGTTTCGTGCTTGCTGCCATCATGGGTAGGTTGAATATGTCTTAAACTTTTCCAGTTTTAGATGATCTTTTTCTGTTTTAAGGTCTGTCTAATATCCATTTCTTTGTATGCATATGTCCTTGCTGATGTTTAAATTTATGGAATAAAGAACTCCCAAATGAGTTGTTCATTTGTATCGGATGCAGATTGCAGAATATGTGTCTGGAATGCTGTTGATGGTAGCTTAGTCCATTCTTTAACAGGTCACAGTGAATCTGTAAGTGCTTATATTTTGCTGTTTACAATGTTTCATGTTCTTTTGAAGGTTCTTGACTCAGTGACAGCACATTGTCAACCTTATATTGAATACAGAAGGGGAAAAAGAATTGACTATATGATTGTAGATAATATTGGCTAAAAGAGATCAAATTAAGCAGAAGTGCATGTATACTCCCTCAGTTTCATGTGATATTGTAGGAAAAAGGGTTGTTTTTTTTGTCACTGATGACAGTGTTATTTAAGAGATGTACACTTAGGAGTTTATATTGAATGTCTAGAGGGGGATGCTGATCCCTGGAGCCTTAAAATGCTTTTCTTGTGTTTGTATTTGCTGTTAGGTTTTTGTGCTGAAGTGAAATGTAAGATTTGAAATTTATGACTTAACAAGAACCACAAAATGCATCAGTTTTCACCACGGAAGGCCAATCATCTGAAGATGCCAGCAAGACAATCGGAATGGACCTCTCTTCAACAGACAAAATGAAAATAGATTGTACCTATCATTCAAAGCGTCATATAATCATTACTGCTTCAACTTCTACTAAGCATATCCTGTATAGAAGGTTTTGAGAGGACAAAAAGTGGGAAAATGGTAACTGATAGCTCAGTTAACTGTTCATGGGCATACCTGCTAGGAGGTTTTCAGGAAAACTTCCGATATCTATATCAAAAAAGGAAACACTTTCATATGATTTTCCTAGTTCTAAAATTGATGCCTCTTGTTCAATCATATTCAAGTTAATGGCTTCAGTTTTTTTTTTTGATGCACTTTAGTTGTATTGTTGTGTTTTCTATACTGAATAGCGTCTTTTTGACTGTCTTGTTAGGAGAAACCCTTGATATTAAGTTTATTAGGCTTGTAATTACTTTTTTATGGTGATTATGATTTGTTTGCTTTCGCTTTGGAAGTCTCTGATTCACTGTTGACTAGAATAAAGCTATTGGGTCCTGATTGTCACATAGTATCAGAGCTTAGGTTACAAACTAGGAGAGCCACTGCTGCCTTTTGTTGTCATCATAGCCTTAGGAGCTGTTTGTTTGAGGCTTAAAGGGCTTAATGGTATGGGGGGTTTATTTGCTGAGCGATATCGAAGTGTTTGTTTGCACCTTAATGATTAACCTATCAGCAATTTTGGCTTTATGGGTTCAGCCCAGTCTACTAGCTTTATAGATTCAGCCGTTTGCTCAGTGAGGTTACTCCTTTTTTCCATCCTTACCCTTCACTCAGCTATATTACCTTTTTGGATTCAGCTGTTCCACCTCGCTGCTGCTTTCACCACCTTGAAGCTGCTGCTTCCTTCCGATCACTGTGTTTTTCTCTTGAAATCCTCTCGACCTCGCTCCTCTCCCTTCTGGTCGACATTGGCCCCCCTGCTGCTCAACCTTGCCCCATCCCTTTCTGCTCAACCTCGTTCCTTCCCCTGTGCTGAATCTTACAGAAGCGAAAATCCATTTGTAGTTGAAAACTAATTTTCTTCAAGCATTTTACTTTTCATGTTGTTTTATGGATCTTGATGGATTCTGTCGTTTTGTTTTGTATGAACCCTTTTGAGGTTTCTTTGATTTTAGATATAAATATATATTATATATATATATATATAGAGAGAGAGAGAGAGAGAGAGGTGAGTTATTATGCAACCCGTTACATTTGTACAACCAATACAACTCAATCTCAACCGTCCATTTAATTTGATGAATATGTGATTTCATAAAAGTTTAGATTGTTTCCTAATATAAAGTATTGATCATTATTAATGAACCCTAGTCATCTTCCATAAATATCCAAATCATAATAAATGAACTCTCATCATTTCCATAAATATCTCAAGTGATTGGGTTGCATTGGTTGTACAAATGTGATGGGTTGCATTTGAAACGTCCTCTCTCGTTCTCTCTCTCTCTCTATATATATATATTTGAAGTTAGTGAAATCAACCTTCAAACCCATTTGGGGAAGCATAAGTCATTGTCAGCTGATGTTGATTTGGATGTCTTTGCAAACGTCACAAAACTAGTAATACTCCCTATATCCAACAATTCTATTACTGGGAAATTTCCAACAAAAACAGGGAAAATGTTTGAATATCTTGATATTTTGGATAATCTGCTCAATTCTTCTCTACCGCTGGATATTGGTAAGGTTGAGAGGTTAAAGAATCTGTCTTTCGCTGGGAACAACTTTTTGGATCCATTCCTGATTTGAGTTGCAACTTGTTCTATGGGCCAATTTCACCATCTTTGACACAGTTGTACAAGTCTTTGAAGAAAATACCAAGAGGTTTTCCAGATATGGTAGGCTGTACTTCAAGCTTGTTGGGGCTATGGTGGTTTGGTGTATGTACCTGGATGAGGGGTAAAATGGTCATTTCTCTCATTCAGACAGCTTTTTCAGCACAAAAAAAAAAAGAATTTATTTAAATCCATACAGACAACTTGATCTATACATGGCTTAACGAAAATACAGACATACAGGACCTTAGATTAAATCTCTCTGTTATTCTATTTTTCCATCTGTTTTGCTTTGCTGCTGCCATCTGGATTTGTTCATCTCACTGCCTGTCAAATGTCTCTCCTCTGTTGCTGCCTCCAGAAGCTTGGACAGCTTGTTCGAATGTTCCTGTTCTAATCCCCATCGCTGCAACTGTCCTATTCTGATGCTGGAGCAATCCTATCCACAATCCATTATGGCGAGCTAGTGCTAATTCTATTCTCTTTTCTTTTGTCTGTTTCAATCAATTCTGGTTTTAATATCTTTCTTCTGCTTGTCAAGATAGGAATGGATGATGTCTATTCTCAAACTTGAGAGGAGTTTTTGGACATAGACCCGCATTAGGTTTATGTAATTTAGTTTATTAGGTTATGAAACTACTTTGCTATTCTGATTGTAAAATTGTCATGGCACATGCATCTGTTTTCTAATGATTGTGCTTTTTGTCTGTAGACTTACGTTTTGGATGTTCATCCTTTCAATCCACGAATAGCTATGAGTGCTGGATATGATGGAAAAACAATAGTGTGGGATGTGAGTATTTGTTTTGTCATCCTATCCTGGTTGCCTATTTACATTTTTATTAAATGATTTTATTTTGCTTCAATCATATATAGATATGGGAAGGAATACCTATTCGTATATTTGAAATCGGACGCTTCAAGCTAGTTGATGGAAAATTTTCTCCGTAAGTTGATCGCATATCTTGTTTCATGTCCTTTTATACATCATCATTTGCTTGTTCCTTTTATGAACTATTTTTAGTGTTATCCTTTTGGGTTATGCTTAATATAGGAGTGGCATGGTAAAGTTAAATGTAGTATTAGGATGGCATAATGACTTTGCTACTCGGTCTCCTTTTAAAACTGCAACTCGTTGCTCCAGAGTTTTGACTATTAGTCAAATGTGTGAGATGAATAACTTTAACATTTCATAGGACCAACAGTGGGCAACTAAGTCATTTTAGCCTGAAAACATGCCAGAATAGATATTGTTGTAGCTACATGGGATGGCCATAGTATGTTATTTTGCTTCAGTTGAAATAATTTGGTACATAAAATAGGTTATACGAACCACTTACCTATTCTTCTATCCCAAATCTCCTATGTTACCAGGGATGGGACATCCATTATTCTTTCCGATGAGGTTGGTCAACTATACATATTGAGCACAGGCCAAGGAGAGGCGCAAAATGATGCAAAGTATGATCAGGTATAAAATAAAAATAAAAAAAGTATTTTCTATTGACTGGTATAAAACTTCATAAGTCCCCCGAAAATGTTTAGGCATGCCTAGAAAAACTAGCAACATCTGTTACTGACGTTATACAAGTCTGTCAACAGTTTTTTCTTGGAGATTACAGGCCACTTGTCCAAGATGCCCATGGAAATGTTCTCGATCAGGTTAGTAGACTGTCTCTCTTTTTGGTGCTCTGTTCTGTTAGTCTTCTACTTTAGACATACGTACTTCTTCATAAACCATAATCTTATGCTATGGAAAATATTAGAACTTATAGTCGATGACAATTAATTTAATTACTAGTTATTTGCTGGTAACTACACGTATTTTGACTTCAAACATTAAAATGGTTACATCTGCAGTTGAGTTTTAGAAAGTATATAAAATGATTTAGGATAATAAATGACTAACCGAAGGACAGTATTTGACTTTCTACATTTAGAAAGACCACTTGTTTTAATTAGTAAAATTTACTGATAAAAAACTTTACAGGCTGGAAGAGAGAATTTGGAAGAGAAGAACAAAAACCTTAATTGTAGTGCTGTACTTGGCTACTGTTTTTACAAATCTTTTAGGCTATTTGATCCTAATTTTTTGGGAGTTTTAACTGACCCAGGAAACACAACTTGCTCCCTACCGAAGGAATATGCAAGATCTCCTTTGTGATTCAGGTTTGTGAAACAGAGATTTGAAACCATTCTTTAATATATCTTTATTTTCATATTCTTTAGTATAGCCTTGGAGCAACCAGTAAGTTTACTCCTCTCTGCAAACTGCAATGGAAATGCTACTTACAGAAACCTCCCTCCCTAAGCCTTGGTGCATCAGGTCTGCGTTTTTCATGATTTAAATTTTGTAATTTGTTTAGGCATGATTCCGTACCCGGAACCTTACCAAAGCATGTACCAGCAAAGACGGTTAGGAGCTCTGGGCTTTGAGTGGAGGCCATCTTCAGTGAGGTTTGCTGTAGGAACTGACATCAGTCTTGACCAAGAATACCAAGTTCCTCCAATAGCAGACTTGGATATATTGATGGACCCCCTTCCAGAGTTTCTAGATGTCATGGACTGGGAACCAGAAATAGAAGTACAAAGTGATGAAAATGATTCGGAGTATAATGTGACAGAGGAATATCATTCCGGAGGAGAGCAAGGAAGTTTGAGTTCCAATGCTTCTGCTAGCCTTGAATGCAGTGGAGGAGATAGCGAGGATCAAAGTTCTCATGATGACAGCATCCGTAGGTCTAAAAAGAAAAAGTTGAAGGCAGAAGTAAGTATCACTTATTAAAAAAATAAATGAGATACATTTTGACTTTTGTGGTTTTCAACTTCAAATTTGATATGAACGTTTTAAAAGGTCTACAAATGGAAAGTTTGACTTGAAATTCTGTACAAGTGTTAATGCCAAATTTTGAATCTCAAAAGTGGTCGCTTTGACCAGATCAGTGAATGTGTCTTTGTTTAAAACATAGCAAATTCCTTCTCACTGATGGGAAGATCGATGGGAAGGTTTTCATTGATTGGTCTTAACATGCCGTGTTAAGTTGTTTTAGGTTTTCATCTATGTGTCTGTTGCTGACAAAAAGCCTTGCAAATATTTTTCCTTTTTTCCTGATATTTTCACAATTCTGTCAGGTTGAGTTCATGACTTCTTCTGGGAGACGTGTGAAGAGGAGGAATTTGGATGGTGAAGAGAGTTCACTTAGAAACAATCGTAGCAGAAAATCAAGATTTGGTCAAAAGGCATCTAAAAAGAAGTCGTCTCAGTCCAAGTCTTTAAGGCCTAGGCGAGCTGCAGCACGCAATGCTCTAAGTTTTCTATCCCGGATAAGTGGAAGAGCCTCAGATGGAGAAGAGGACATTATAGAAGGTGATTCATCTGAAAGTTATTCCAGTCAGCAAGACACTGATGTTGGAAGTGAAGAAACTGAAGTGTCATTTGAAAATGAACAAAATGGGCATTTGAAAGGTAAAGAAATAGCATCCGAAGATGTGGGTACCCATCGGGACAGTCCCAAATCTCAAATTCCTAGTGGAAGCAGGAGGTTAGTGTTAAAACTTCCTAACCGTGATTCAAGAAAACGATTGGAGTTAGAGAACAGGACAAGTGATGTAGTAGGTCCATCATCTTCTACCCCTCATGACATGGATGAATCAACTAAGAATTTCTCTTCCATTCATGGAAATGGCGAAATTCTTGAAAGGAATGAGAATGGTTTAACTACGAAAAATATGAATCATTTGAGCCTGCTTGAGGGATACAAAGATGGAGACATTAGATGGGGACGGGCAAAGTCTCGCTCATCGAAACGCTCAAGGATTACGGAGCCAATGCCATCTGGTGTTAAATCTGGGAATGGATCATGTCCTGATGGCAGTTTCAAGATTGAGAATGTTGTCAACGAAGAGCCGGCATTTGAAAAGGAGGAGTTTACAGTTCCCTCTAGTCCTATTGATGTCCAAATTCTCGTTCCATCTAGTCCTTCGGATGTCCAAATTCAAAAGGGGAAAATGGTCCATGTAGAGGAGGACCAAGAAAATAAGCAGGATAAAGAAACCCCTATCCCGTTGCAAACAAAATTGAGGATAAAGTCTAGAGTCCCAAGAGACCAAGAATTTCACCCAAAAGTAAAGATTAGATCATCAGTACAGGAATCAAGAAGTGGTGAAGGTACTGCTTTGTCTGACAGCTCCACCTCTGACGTTCCAGACACAAAAATGCCAAGTTCAGATGATAGGATTTGCAGAGGTACATCTGTAGACACTACTCAGGATGATAACACTATCAGCTCTGATATCCAAGAACCACAGAAGCCACATTCACGTGATAAGATGTTTAAAGAAGTTTATAAACGGTCAAAGTCAACTAGGACCAGGACAAATGTAGGAATTAATGGTGGAGGCATGGAAACAAGCACTTCTAATGCAGGTAATAGCAATCAAGATGAACGGACTGAAGCCAGAGTCCATGGGACTCGGAGAAATGTCAATTTGAGGGCTGTCCGTGATGTTTCTGAAGATACATCAAGTAAAGAAAAATCTTCTACTGACGGAGGTGATGAGCTTCCACAAGACGAGGGTAGATTAAGTTCAAGACTTCATGTCGGATTAAGATCTACCAGAAGCAGGAGACCCATTGATTACAATCGTAGAAACAGGTCTCCAGAAAGAAAGAAACCACACCAATCAACAAGAAGTTCGTGGTTGCTGCTGTCAAATCATGAAGAGGGCTCTCGATATATTCCACAGCTAGGGGATGAAGTCGTGTACTTCAGACAGGTGTGTGTATTTGTTAATTTAACGTCGTAAACATTGATATTTCTGTCCCTTGAAAATTGCAACATTTTTTATTAGCAACTTCTCAAACTAAGTTGACTTATGCTTGCTCATTGTCATAATTACAAACAAATCGATGCCATTAACCTATGTTTACAAGTTTTGTCTATTTTCTCATTATTGATGGGTATTCAAGCATTTTTACTAAATAGTTGAACCCTTCCGTCAAACTATATGCAACATCAAGCGTTAGTTTCTATGGGACAGAGGGAGTAGTTGACATTTACCCTCAAGTACTTCTAGCTCAACCTTTTCGATCTCAAAAAAAGAATGGAAATACATTTCCTAGAAAAGCTTAAGGCTATGGGTCATTTAGCTTACCCCATTTTTCTTCATTGTTCATTCTCCATTTTGTGAAACCCATCTCAATTCACCTTTCATCAACTAAAAGCAACCCATGATCACATTTTCATTTTTCCTCGCATCATATAAACAAAATGAAAATAGTATATCTCAAGTGATCTGAACAATAACTAAACAATTTCCTTTCGTCTTATATGCCGAGAGGAATTGTTGGCCCTATGAACACCAAAATCATTATGGACGCATAGAATCAGAAATGGAAGAAATAACATCACATGTAGTTGAAGATGGAGTTCTGCAAAGATTGATGAATCATTACTTTATGGTCTCGCTGTTTTCAGGGTCATCAAGATTACATCAATGGTAACAATTCAAGAGAAACGGGTCCATGGAGGTCATTGAAGGGAATCATCAGAGATGTCGAGTTTTGTAAGGTCAAAGAACTTGAATATTCAACGCGTCCAGGTTCTGGTGAGGGCTGCTGCAAAATGACCCTACAGTTTGAAGACCTTTCCTCCAATGTTGTTGGTAAGACATTCAAATTGACTCTTCCAGAAGTGACAGGCTTCCCAGACTTTCTTGTTGAGAGAAGTAGGTACGATGCTGCTATGGAGAGAGACTGGAGATATCGTGATAAGTGCCAAGTTTGGTGGAAAAACGAAGGCGAAGAAAACGGGAATTGGTGGGAAGGCCGGATTGTGGCCGTGAAGCCCAAATCTGTTGACTTTCCAGATAGTCCATGGGAAAGGTTTTCAGTTCAGTACAAAAATGATCCAAATGTGCTTCAACATAGTCCTTGGGAACTCTATGATGCTAGTATGGTATGGGAGGAGCCCCATATTGATGATGATATCAGAACTAAGCTCATTCGTGCTTTGGCCAAACTTGAGCAATCAGGCAACAAAGCTGAGGTAGTTTTCCTTTTGATATGTTTTTTAAGAGTGACTGACCTTTTGAACCATCGTTGCAAACACATCTTTGTTGTAAAACTTGCAAAAAGGGGCCATTTTGCATTTACATTTTCATGGTTTTTCCAAAATCACTCATTCTTTAAAAAAGAATGATGCCTTTTTTTTGGCAAAAAAAGGTGGTGGTTAATTTGCAACAAGGTCACACAAACAGCCTCTTTGCAACTCAAAACTAGGAACAAACCTTAAAGCAACTGGTAAGGATGCCAACCCATGGATCACATAAAACAACCTCGTTGCAAATAAGGATGGAAAGGTTGCACACTAAAAACTCCTTCCCAAACACTTGCAAGAGCAGAGGAAAGTTGATGTGTTGGGGTAGCCTTCTTGAATGACCTTTAGTTAGCAATCTCATATCCCCAAGCGACATTTATTATCTTTAATCTTTAGGTTTCTTATTTACTCTATTCTTAATACTTACAGGATCACTATGGTGTTCGAAAATTGAAACAAGCATCGCAAACGTCGACATTTATCAATAGGTATGACTTTTTTTAACCCCTTTAAGATGGCATGGTCTTCCTCATTTAGGATTCATGATTTTTCTTCATTTTGTGGGTCGCGTTTTCATTTCTCCTTCCATGTAGACTAAATGAATGTGTTGAACCTTATTGTTTTCCTTCAATCCCAACATCACTCGTCCCCAATAATATGCTCATTTTCTTTTCAAACCAATGTTTTTCCTTTTTTCTTGTTTAGAAGGGATCAGCCACAATTCCATCTCAGGCATTCAATTGCCCATCAATCTTGGTCCTTGGTGGCTCTCTGATTATCTATCATGTAGACATCTTCATTTCTTTTGTTTTAATGACATACAAGACAATGAATGATCTAAAAAAAGCTTTGGGTTCCACTTGCATGCACCGTTTTTCTTCATGCTCACTCGCATAATGTAAACTTGAGTCATCTCTCTATATCTATCTTCACATAGTGAAAACTTGGTTTGGTAAAATGTTATGAATAAGAAGGTGGTTGTTGCAGGTTTCCGGTGCCATTGACTCTTGAAGTAATCCAATGTAGATTAGAGAACAATTACTACAGGAGGTTTGCAGCAATGAAGCATGATGTGGAAGTGTTGCTACAGAATGCAGAAAGTTACTATGGGAGAAACAAGGAGTACACCATAAAGATGAGACGTTTATCGGACTGGTTCACGAGGACACTTTCCTCTTTGTAGAACAAGTCTCTTTTTTGTAGAAAGAAAGAAAGAAAGAAAGAAAAAAAAAAAAAGAAAGAAAGAAAGAAAGAAAAGTATTATTATTGATATTGGCCTTGTAAAGTCCTCAACCGGTTTTGTTCTTCTGACTCTGCTTCATTCTTGTATAGACTTAGTTATCATTAAAAAAGACAGACAATCTTTAAAAGCAATCTAACCAATCAAAATCACTTGATTTGCTTGCATTTTGTTTTTTTCTTTTTCCTTTTTCCAGTAAATTACATATTTGGTCCCTGTTTTTAGTCGAAGTTATGTTTGGGTCCTTACAATTCATTATGATTTTGTGAATAATTCATTATCTTTTTTAACGGAGTTGGTATCAATCTGTGATGAAAGTTAAATCACCATGAATGAATTGCAATTTATTTAATCTTTTAAAATGTTTTCACTTTTTATTAGTTTTGTTTAATAAGTTTACTAGTTGAATACCCGCACAATCCGGCATGAGCTATGAATTTTAACGATTTTGAAATTCCACTGGTTTTATAAGATAAGATTTAACGATGATATAGGTTACACTTGCTCTTTACATATTAATACAATTTGAATAAATAAGAGTTATGGTTTCAAATACAGACTATCGATGAAAAAAATTGTATGACAGTTTAAAATCCAATATATTTAAACGACTCCACAAATGTGTTCGATTTACACCAAGAGCAAAGAACCAAAAAACTTGAGTTTTAAGATAAATACTCAAAACCAATAAAGAAAACTACAAATTTAACAGATCATAAGYCWTGAAAAGACCAAAAAAGATGAGTTTTAGAATGAAATTTCAACTGTTTACCTCTTTCTTGTCCAGAAACTCAGATTAAGGTTGAATTAATACATGTATATATATATATATATATATATATATATAAAACCTAAGAACATATTAATTCAGAACATATTATATAATGCAATTTGGACAGCCTAACCCCAAAATATATAGTGTATATATATATATAAATAAATAACTATAAAAGTATAAATCGTAAATATTAAAAATATTTTTTCACAATATATATAATATATAATAATATAATTAAGTCAAAAACTATTCAATGTTGGACACATTTCGAAGGTATTAAAGAGACGATTATAATGGTGTAACTTATTAAAATAAAAATGTATTTTTTAAACATGCTTTAATTGATATATAATTATGTATATTAATTCGATAAATGTTTAAAATGAAACATTTAAAAGTAAAGAACGTAAAGTAAATTAATTAACTAATTATAGGGGTATAAAGTGTAAATTTAAAATTATAATTTTAAAAAAATCGCTTGTGAAAGGGTGAGTGTATGTGAAAGGGTGTTTGTATGTGAGGGGGGTGAGTGTATGTGAGGAGAGGAGGGGGTGAAAAAGTGTATAAATGGTATCTTGGTTATTTAGTATTTTAAGACTTTTGCTAAATTTGATTTATAAGATAATATAGATTTAGACAACTTGTTATTTAAACTCAAATTTTTAGCATAATATAATATTAGAAGGATACTCGTACAATGCAGTGAAATACATCTTATTTTAATGTTTCATTTTATTTTGTATCCATCAATGCTATAATACGATTTTATGTGATACCGAAAAAAACGATAATATTTTTATTATTTAAAATTTTTTTAATTTGATATCATAAAATTTTGAAAAAAAGTATATATCGATTTTTGTATCAAATTAAATATTTAAAAGTTCTTGTTTTTGTATAATTTCCTTAATTCTATTTTTCATTATAATTTAATTTAGATTTAATAATGAAGTCATTTGTTTTTAGTTTAATAATATAATTCTTTTATATAGTATTTTGAATTCAATGATTATCCTAAATATATTTTAAATTTTTTATATTTAAAATGAAATACTTATCCAGAATTTGATTATGTTTATCTGTAGTTAGTTACACAAATTCAAACATAAAGCTAAGTTGTATATACAGACAATTTACTTGTAATCTTGAATTTTAAGTAATATGCATCAATAAACAATACTTAATGCATAAAAATTGGTTTTTTTAAAGTTTTTGTCAAATACTTTATAATATAGTATAAGATAATATAATATTTTAAGATGTTTAATTATCTTAATACATTATATTATCCTAAATTATACCAAAAAAATACAACTGATTGAATTTTTTTATACAGATATGTAAGCGAAAACGTCATGTCGTGTGATTTTTAATGCTTTTTTACACAAGTTCCCTTGCAACAAAGACAAACAGAAAACAGTTAACTTTTATTACTACCGAAAATATTTAACGACTAATATTATTAAATTATGTAATTTTATTGACCCTGAATCTTGCCCACTAAAAGAGTCTTACCCTCACCTTATTTGGTAAGGTTCACGAGTATCAAAATGGATTGTGGTTTTAACCTTTTTAATCCGATAAACGTTAATCGGGTAAAAGTCTTCTCATCACTTAACAGGTAAAACTATCGATCATTACTATACTTATTTTCAGGTAAGATCCTGATTCCGGTAATTAGCGTTTGACAAACAATCCCTAAGTGAGAGTAATGACTCTTACCCTGTTAGTGCTTAGTAGTTAAGAGACATTTATACTATGTCTTGATCAAGAGTCTCACTTAGTAAAGTAAGCATGGCTGGTGACTCTTACCCGACAAACACTTATTGGTTAGCGTCAACAAACAGCCCCTAAACCATGTTGTGCAAAAAGGGTTTGCAATACCCTCCAAATCTGCCCCACCATACCGGTCCATGACCAAGTAAATCATGGTGCTCTAGGAAGAATAGGTGGAGCCGGATTTGAACCCGATAACTTGTGAAAGCTCCGGCCTTTTGCCGTTGGGATAATTCAAAACCCACAATTAAACCATACTATCGTAAAGCAAGAGTGAAGAACAAACTTGTCGATTTAATTTCAGTTCCAACTCCAATACCTAGTCATCAACTAAGATTACAATTAGAAATCTCACAAGTTCCCATTAGCATCCACTCTTCCACCGCTTTCGATTAACAATCACGAGTAACAATCCATCAAAAGTTTCACTGCATACTCCTCAATCCCTCCACCGATGGCCACAGTTTGGATTGCAGCAAACGAAAAACAATGTCATACCTTCTTCCCCTCTAGCAGTTGCCTGATAAATGAAAACATTATCTCACATATCTGTTTCGTATAAATGAGACTCACAAAATGAAAAAGTAAAACGAACAAAAATGATTTTAGACTTAATCCAGCCATCATGTTATAATTACCAATCTATCATCACTTGCTAGTTACTATACAACCATGGAAGCTTTTGTTATGAAAAAGTTTTGCAGCACATACATATTATAATGAATCTTTTTTTGAAATGTTTATACAATGTATTTAGATTAATAGACTCACCATTGGTGCTTTGCTGTAGTTGCTAAAAATGGTATTCAGCTCCATTTTTGAAAACCTTAACAGTTATCATTCCGAATGTTCTACTGAAATTGCAACATTCATGTTTTTGCAACTTCTAATCTGAAGAATTGAAGGTATTGTTTTAGGTCCATGAACTCCCTTATTTTTCATTATAATTTAGACTTTTTACATTAGTGGACTCTATTCCTGATCAAAATTTGCGTTCTTATAGGACTCAGGGAGTGCACTAGATACCAACTCTTCAGTGGGTCCGGCGAGTTCATACAAACTATCCCCTGAATCTGTAACAGAAAAGATCCCCTCACTTGCTGTTATGGTAATATACTATTTCCCAAGTGACGAGTACAAGCATAGACAAGTAAAATCAAGAGTAGATTTCATCTCCAATCACAACATTAGGACCATATCAAGTTAATATACAACTTGTATGATATCATAGTTTGCTGCCATAAAAGATCTTTGAAGCTCAATTACTAAAATAGAAGATGAGGTAAAGTTCAATGAGCAGTAATGCAATTAACTATATATTAAAATAAATATCAAACTACAGGAAATGTTGTGTGTGTGTGTGTTTAAAACTTGCAGCAGCTAAAACAGAATGATGACGTTATTGATGTTAAAAGTTAGCATGCATGCAAAAAGGGAAAAGAAAATGGACGCATATACTGCTGAAGATGTGATCCTGCAAATGGTTCATATTTGATACAGCAGATAGAAGTTACCTGGAAGAAAACAGCCTCTCCATGACCACATTGAGCACACCGAACTGCTTTTGTGCGTGGAAGAGTTGGATCTGCAGCAACATCCTGCAAAACTTGAGTTCGCTCCCCAACAGCATGGTGTATCTCATTTCTGTAGACACAGTTGTTATCGGCAACCTCCTGTGTAAAGTTCAAGGTGAAATTAATTAGCATACAAAAAAGAAATTACAATTCAACTGCATAAAAATGAGCAGCAAATAATCAAGCAGGAGCAATTAAAAAAGAAATCAACTTGTGACACCAGTTAAAATAAGAGTGTGTTAAAAAGATTATAAGATGACAGCTTAGGTCACACCATCATCAGTTGCAAACCATTTTTCTTTTATATAAGTTTGTTTTGTATCTGAGTGAAACCCCAAGTCTCTGAATATAAACTACTGGCACATCAACAAAAAGTAGACAATAGAGTGGGATGAGAATCGCTTCATTTGGAAAATACAAATTTCAAAAGAGCTCTTAATCTCTTATGATCACTGTGTTTGAGCTTCTTATAATCTTGGTAGCTAACTACAAGCTAGCTAAGTATGAACTTTATAAAAATGATATATTACCCTGTTGCATCTTGTACCATGCACTGGAGAAGAGGCTTGTGCTTGGTACCTTTTTTAGTTGCTAGATTTTTGTGAATTTCTGAAAAATATATATTTGCTCTTCTCAGAAAACCTTTTTTTTAGAAATAATAGCTTGGAAAAATAAACCAGACACATTGATGCACCTAAAGTACTTTCTTTCTGTTACACCAAAAGTGTTTATTTTGACTACTTGATAAAAACAACTTCCAAAAGTTATACTTTCTGTGGATATATCTTACAGACGAAATATAGAACACAATCAAGCTACTGTTTCGTATTTCATGCAGAACTAGCACAGAGAAAGTTGGGTGCTTTGATCACCTGATATTGACTACAAGTAAAGTGTAAAGCAACAACGTTCTTATTTTAAGGCTAACTAACTCGACAATTTTCAAATCTAAGGAGACAAAAAAGGGAACCAGATGATGTAAAGATAATCTTTGAAGTAAATATACAGCATAAGAATATAATGGAAAGAAAGTGCAGAGATTAGACCAGACAGATGAAAAAAAACATAAAGAAGCTTACAGATGCGTTTTTATAGGATTCATATCTATTTAGCACAGTAAGGGGCCGTTTACTAAACACTTACCTTGGTAAGTGCTTACCGGCTATATTACCTTATCGGTGAACATAACAAGGAGCGAGAGTCTTACCCGGTAAGAGGGAAGACAATAATCGAGAGTCTTACCCAATAAGTGAGGGTGATGACTCTTACCCGGTAAGCGCTTACCGGGTTATAAATGTTTGCCGGGTTATCCATTTTGATGGCAAGGAATGTTACTCCATAAGGCAAGTGAGAGTGGTGATCATGCAGGTAAGAGCTTACTCGATAAGCGTTTGGTAAACGGCCCCTAAGTTTAAGGTGTTCATTCCCTTTGAGAAATAGAAGATGTAAATGGAGCTTCGGAGGCCATCTGGATCTGACAAACTTGACCATCTAACATAAAAGAAACAAAGAGGATCTACGTCTATGTGGTCTCACTATAAGGAGATTTATTTGACCTTTCCATTATGCAATTGTTTAAGGAAATTCAATTTATGACTTGTAGCCTTGACACTCTTCAACCTTCCACTGGCATTTCTGCCCCTAAAAACTCGCTAAAATTCGTATCAACCAACCTTTCAAGACACGTGAACTGTTCCAACTTCCAAGGGGAAGGCGTTCAGCAGGGTTGTATCACTATACTTTTTGTCAGTTTCAGATGTCCATAATCCAACCTTTGCAAAGCCATTTATTTTCAGAGACTTGATGACCAGAACCAGAAGACTAGTAAACCCAGATTTCACCTCATAATCCTCTCTACTTAAAACAAATATTTGACCAATTCGGCAGCAGTTTTGAGCAAAGAGGGAGGTATATAGCTTACAAGATTAACAGCTGATCTCCTCCAATTTGGACAAGTTAGTTGTTACTGAATCAAACTATATTAGTTTATCTAACTGGAGCCAATTTTAAAAATGCAAATATCTCCATAACCACACCCCCAATAGAGGTCTTCATACCCTTAGATATGCAGTTCATAAGGTTTCAAGCTCTATTGTTTCTCTTGTTGCTGCAAACTATGATTTGGGCATTTGATTCCTAATCTCAACCCTTTCAAGAAAAATTGTTAGTCTGTGTCCTCAAGCAAAATAATCACGGTCCCACAAATTCCTCCAATGAACATTCTCTCCATTGTACATTGACATTCAGAAACACATCACCTGAAACCATTTGTGGGACAATGTTAGCCATGGCTGGCTTCTTTCTGCCGCTTAAAATGGAAGAAAGAAGTGCAAACTAGAAAGGGACTTCGTCGGGTTTTTGTGTTTAGTGTACTGTTCGCAAAGTTTAATGCATCTATCAAGAATTCCTAGACTTTCCTAAGTCGTTATAAAGTTTGATTTTGCGAAGGAAGCCATTTGAGCTCGGAAAGTGAGCTTCTTCTTGAAACCCTTATCAAGAGATTGATTAACAAATTTGGAGATCCTAATAAAACCCTCTTTGACACGTCTAAGCTTCGTTCAGAGAAATTATTTGAAGATTCAAATAATACGAATTTTAAACCATTAGGGTTTGCTTATCATGTACAGGTGAGAGAAGAGCAGAGTACAAGAAACTTCACCTGATGATCGCAGTTGCGGCAAGCATAGAGGAGGATCTTCTGATCCTTATCTTCTTTAGGATAGAGAATGTTGTTGCTGCAAGTTCAAACCCCAAAAAACACAGTCGAACATTTAAACAAACAGTTTGTGTTCGTATCAAGATTACAACCACTGCTGATATGAGAAATAAAATTACCATTCTCGACAAAATTTCATGGTACTCATCTTCGCTAGATTGGTGGTAAAAGGAGCTGTTCTTCTATGTTAATCTCCTTCCGGTCTCAAGCAGCAGCCGGTTGAACCCCGTGTGTGTGCGTGTTTTCAAAATGAGAACAGGAGGTAAAGAAATGTACAGAACCGTCAAGTTTATGGAAGCGATTTTGTATCTTGCTTTGAAAACAAATTCCATCGTATTAGTGAAAGAATAGAGGGAAAACCCCCTAAAATTTTCTATTTTAAACAACTTATACTTTTTTACAACTTCAACAAAAAAATCTTTATTATCGGTTTGACACTGATATAAGTTGTTTATCTAAACACTCAAAAATGTTTATTATCGATGTCATATCAAAATAAGTCAATAAGTTGTTTTTATAAACAATCCCAAACACCCCTAATTGCTTTATTTCTCTAAATTATTTTTTTAAAGAAGAAACCATGAATTTTTCTTATTTTAAATAATCAAGTTCGTGAATATTACTTTTTAAACAAATAAATAATTGGTTACATTCGTCCTTTTAAGCCGAACAAGCTACATGTTACTTAGAGAAGTTATAAAGTAAAAAAACGTAAATCCCAATCGTCGTTTGTTCTATATACCAATTATTACCGTCGTTTGGTCCCTATCATCAATCTTTCTCCTTTTTGTCTGTTTTTTCTCCTTCGATTCTTCCTATTTTACAACATTCTATTGGAATACGTATTGACAGACGAAAAGAGAAAATCGAAAAAAACTGATAAAAAAGAGGGAGATCGATGGCAGGGGCCCAACCTTGTGATTGTAACACCTGTTTTTTTGGGAAATTTAATCATAATGGGTGTGATGTGGTTTATGATGAACCAATGGATGTGTTACCAAGTTCGGGTGCCTTTTAGGATTTAAGCAAAGTTAGATGACCAAAGTTTCTAAAGAAAAGATGTTAAGGGGTCGTTTACCAAACACTTACCCGGTAAGTGTTTATCAGTAAAATTTAACACTATTATTTACTTATCAGGTAAGATTTTAATCCATCAAAACAACATTGTATGCAACAATTCACCCGGTAACGCTTACCATGGTAAGAGTCGTCTTCCTCACTTACCGGGTAAGACTCATGGTCTTTGTCTCGCTCTTACTGGGTAAGATTCTTAGTCCTTATCATATTCATCCGGTGAGGTAATGTGACTTGGTAAGCACTTACCCGGATAAGTGTTCGGTATACGGCCCTAAGATATTTTAGGTATAAAACCCTCAAATCCCAAGACTCTTTCATTGTTGGCGGTTCTAGAGTTTCAAATGAGAGAAAAATCCATCTTGCAACTAAAGAAGATACTTGTGATTCAAAAGAGAAATGTTAGTGTTAGTATTAGTGTTGATACTGGTGGATGGAATACTACCTTGAACACTGGAACTCAAAGTCACCTTTGAAGCTTTCATTTGAGTTCAACCAAGGTAAAACTCTAAAATTTAGGGGGCGTTTGGTTCGTAAAATGAAATTTGATGGAATTGGAATTCATCAAATGAATTTGACTTTGAAGGAATGGAATGAAATGGAATCTGATGGAATTTGACCATGCCTTGTGTCACACCCCGCTAAAGCGGAAACGCGAGGTATGACAAGTATAGTCTCATAGCAATAGTGTATAAACAACACAACCATACAATTTAAAATATAATTACATCAAAACTAAAGTTTACATTCCCAAATACAAATTTACAAAATAAACATAAAAGAAGTTTTGAAATCGATAAATGTGACACGTCTTCTAACAAGTGTCACCATGAGTCTTTCTTACCCTGTAAARGCATGTCAAACAAGTGTCAACTACAAGAGTTGGTGAGTTCATAGGTTTTATATGCACAAAATGATTTTAAATGCATCAATCTCAGTTATAAATTTATGAGCAATATCTTAAAAACAACGTCATACACATGATTTATATTATTGAGCCACTACTAAACCTAAAAACGCCCCACGAACTACCTCAGAGGTGGTAGCGAACCACATGTGTAGAACATACTTACGAACTACCTCAGTGGTGGGACTAAACCCCACATGTGTACAACTCTTGCCGAACTACCTCAGCGGTGACCACTTCGTGTCACATGTGTAGAACTCCTACCGGACTACCTCAGCGGTGACCACTTCGTGTCACATGTGTAGAACTCCTACCGGACTACCTCAGCGGTGACCACTTCGTGTCACATGTGTAGAGCAAATTTTAATGACCAAGTGCACCCCTACTCGTCAGTAACAAGGTGGGAATGACAACCAAATAGTTCTATCCACAAGAATCATGGGTTCAAAAATGAATTAATAGTAGTGGAAATAAACGGGGACTTTCAGTCTCAACATATCAATAGTGTATACATTTAAATGCTCATAACAAGATTCATATATCGATATAAATCCATCAAATATTCATTAATCATGCTTTTCACCTCAAAACGAGAAATTGGTAAAAAGGGGCCGTGAAACTCACTTTTGATATAGAGCTTCGCAAGAAAAAGCAATACGATCCGAATACCGCGCTAGATCAACGATTCCCTATCAATAGGAATATCCAAAACCATCACTTATTGATTTATCTCTACCTATGAGGTTTAATAAATCTTAAGTCCTTATTTGTCTACTTATGTTCCATAATATTATCAATAGTCCAAATATACATAATGTCCATATGCTCATTAAAGAATTAATTTATACCGAAAATGATGCTATAATCCACTAAAAGATCAAATTTTACAAATTCAACCAAATCCAGAATTCTTGATTCTGGACAGAAACTTATGATACATAAAATGATCAAATAAAGAGACTTCAAAAATGAGATAAATTCCCAACTTTTTATATGGTTTATAGCACTGAGTTATAGTCATCGTGATCAAATTTCATGTATTTTGGGCATGAAATGATGATTCAAATAATTTATGTAATGCAACTTATCACAATTAAAATGGCAGATTGCACCATGTTAGTAAAACACTTATTAAAAGAGTTATACTAGGTGTTCTGAAGAAATTCAAGTTGGAGTGAAAACCTAACATTTATAAGAAACTTTTAAACTAAAAATCACTCATTTTGGATGAGTTGAGAGGAAGATATGATACCTTAAAGTCACATGCACACATCTGTCATTAGTTGGCAGATTGCACACTTGACTTAAATAAATAGGTTCATGCCTCAAAACATCATATTTTTGAGTGAAACGGGATTCAAATGAATCCGAACTCATAAAAGAACGTTTTAGAAGAAGAATCATACATTGAGAACAAGTAAGTAGAAAGATATTAACATTCAAAGTAAGAGTTACCTACTGGTGGTTTCACAGTTCGCACACCTATAGAGTTTTAGGTGCTTGGAGATCAAGACTCCATAATTTTATGTGATTCCACTTGCATGTAAGAGACAATCCATAAATTTAACTCTCAAAAGAATAATCATCCTTTTTCATCGAGTTTTGAGAGAGATATGATCGATGGAACATACATATACAAATCTGTCAGAATCGGA